TATACTTTTTATTTTAGATTATTTTGCAAAAAATTTTATTGTGTTTAAGATTTACATTTGTATTTATATATAATTTAATAACAATATTGTAAGTAATATGTTGATAATACTAAAATGCACGTTTCTTACACTATCTTAAGCAATTTAAACGTTACATTATTGTGGGTGTGATTTTCAACGTCAACTTTAACATGACTTACATTTTGCAATATAATATCTTCGCAGAAGTGTATCAGCGGTAAGAAATAGAGAGCCTCTCTACTCAAGTCAGAAATAAATCAAAAAGATTAGGAGATACGGGAGAGTGGCCGAGAGTAACTTATAACGAGACTCACGTCGTCGCCGGTACCCCATAATTACTGGCGCCGATAAAAAAAGAAAAAAAGCACAAAACACAAAAACGGACAGCCGCCGTGCAGCCACCTTTTAAAAAGGTGTTAAAGTGTGCTTTGTGTCCGTGTGTTCCATGTGAGATAGGTGTTAATTTAAAACAAACGTATGGATAGAGCGCCGATTTGATATCCGGCCGCCGTGTACTTTAATTCGCCCTGAAATTTTGACCGGCCGATCTTCGTTTCAGTGGCGTACAGAGAAAATTTCTTACCTCGATATTAGCGACTTTCTCGATCTTATGTAACGAAGAGACTGAATGTCCAGTTGAGTTATTTAATCGAGTTATTTTTTTATAGCGGATATAATTTTATTCTTATTATTGCTATTATATATAGTGATATATGTTTATAAATCCATTTATTAATTTTTTTAAATATTCTATGCTTCGATATATTATAAATAGCGAAAGTTGTTTCATAGATAATATAAAAAAAAAAAAATAATTATATTATATAAATGATAAAAATATATCTTTAAATGACAGAAGAAACAGATTCATGACATAACATAAGAAACAGATTCTTCTTTGCAAAATTTTAGTAACATTCGAGCAATTTTGACAATCTCAGAACACGCCACTGCGATAGCAGATTTTCGTATATAACGTGTAATCAGCACAGCAGTTTCGAACCAATTTTTTATGTTTACCTTCAGGCAGTGCCCACCTTCCCTTCGCACCTTCCCATTTCTTTCTCATCACTCGAAGGTGATTTTACGATTCGCGTCCACGTGAAGCGACGAGCAACGCCCTCGAAAGTCTAGGACGAGTTGATCTATACACATAAAGACTGCAGCAGTAAATTATTGTTTTTATTATCACAAAGTTGTATCCTTTCGCCCGTTATGTATTAATTAAAATAAAAAAAAAAAAAAACGTCATTAACTTGAAATTTCTCTTGATTATGCGGATTATTTTGCAAATTATATTACTGGTATCATTATTATTGATAACACAATTTTTCTTATCATCAGATTGCAAAAGAACTTAACAATGAACACGGCAATTTTTCATGTAATATTCCTTTCTCGATAATAAACGAGATAAAAAGTCCGATTTTTCAAGTAAGCCTCGAGCGCATATCTAATTCATTACAGATTCGATCGATCTTCCTCTTCGATCCATAATGCACGCGGTCCAGGCGCTAACGAGACAGCTCCAGAGCCATTAAGATTCCGGCTTATCACGATCGGGATGCAGCACGCGAAAAGACTCGTTTTCCAAATTGAAAACGCGCCGATATCGTGGCGAGCAATCGGCGAGGCCTGATCTGCTCGCCCTCTAATCGCCAGTTAGTCGGCCCGAGTGCCGCGATCTATCGATTTATCGGTCCACGGAATTAGCATTCGAGGCGTGCATCTCAGTCGCGGATCTCTCGGGCTGCAGCCACGTAAATTTTAGGGCTCCCACAACCCTATAGGGGATAGATCACATTTGAGATCTATGCGACTTTGTCCCGACGAGTAGATCCGCGCACGATACATTTATGCGATATTTATCGTATATGGCTAGAAAAAAATAATAAATCAAGAAATATTAATGTTATACGACATATAATGATGGCTTTTCTGAACCAAGCTTGGCTCACTGCACTTCATTCGGTGTTTCGCGATTACTTGGAGTAATCGCGCTGCACCAAACAAGAAACATAATGAACGGCCGCGTGCATCGCGTCGCCCCAAGAGAAAGAAAGTTCTAATTCTGCACAGCCCCACCGAGAACAGAGGAAGCGCGTGGCCATATTTTACGGGCGGAGGCGTGAAACGGATAATTTTCGAAGGAAGCAATAATCGGGTCGTATATCAAGCCGCAGGAACGGCCTTCAAATTATCGGAAACAAGGGCCAAAACTAATGGGTCCCGCGTTAAACCGTTTGGCTCCTGCCTCCTGGCTCGACGATGCTGATTCACGCCAATCCATTCGCCATTTTCGCACCGCACGAGCCGAAAAACTAGTCGCTTCTCACGTCAGACATGTCCAATGCTCAAGAAGCTCTATGCCTTGAAGAAATAGGGAAAAGCAGGGAAATAGATTTTATTTCTTGTTGAAGTTACACGAATTCCAAAATATATTTAAAAAATAAACGTCATTAACTTGAAATTTCTCTTGATTATGCGGATTATTTTGCAAATTATATTACTGGTATCATTATTATTGATAACACAATTTTTCTTATCATCAGATTGCAAAAGAACTTAACAATGAACACGGCAATTTTTCATGTAATATTCCTTTCTCGATAATAAACGAGATAAAAAGTCCGATTTTTCAAGTAAGCCTCGAGCGCATATCTAATTCATTACAGATTCGATCGATCTTCCTCTTCGATCCATAATGCACGCGGTCCAGGCGCTAACGAGACAGCTCCAGAGCCATTAAGATTCCGGCTTATCACGATCGGGATGCAGCACGCGAAAAGACTCGTTTTCCAAATTGAAAACGCGCCGATATCGTGGCGAGCAATCGGCGAGGCCTGATCTGCTCGCCCTCTAATCGCCAGTTAGTCGGCCCGAGTGCCGCGATCTATCGATTTATCGGTCCACGGAATTAGCATTCGAGGCGTGCATCTCAGTCGCGGATCTCTCGGGCTGCAGCCACGTAAATTTTAGGGCTCCCACAACCCTATAGGGGATAGATCACATTTGAGATCTATGCGACTTTGTCCCGACGAGTAGATCCGCGCACGATACATTTATGCGATATTTATCGTATATGGCTAGAAAAAAATAATAAATCAAGAAATATTAATGTTATACGACATATAATGATGGCTTTTCTGAACCAAGCTTGGCTCACTGCACTTCATTCGGTGTTTCGCGATTACTTGGAGTAATCGCGCTGCACCAAACAAGAAACATAATGAACGGCCGCGTGCATCGCGTCGCCCCAAGAGAAAGAAAGTTCTAATTCTGCACAGCCCCACCGAGAACAGAGGAAGCGCGTGGCCATATTTTACGGGCGGAGGCGTGAAACGGATAATTTTCGAAGGAAGCAATAATCGGGTCGTATATCAAGCCGCAGGAACGGCCTTCAAATTATCGGAAACAAGGGCCAAAACTAATGGGTCCCGCGTTAAACCGTTTGGCTCCTGCCTCCTGGCTCGACGATGCTGATTCACGCCAATCCATTCGCCATTTTCGCACCGCACGAGCCGAAAAACTAGTCGCTTCTCACGTCAGACATGTCCAATGCTCAAGAAGCTCTATGCCTTGAAGAAATAGGGAAAAGCAGGGAAATAGATTTTATTTCTTGTTGAAGTTACACGAATTCCAAAATATATTTAAAAAATATTTTTATTTCTTAAAATATGTAACATTATAAATTTATAAACAATATCTAAAACAATAGAGGCTTTTTTTATTGTAACAATTATTTGAAGAAGGCTAGACAGCAAACTAGCCAAAATACAAGATGCGAAAAATTTATCGAATAATTATTAAATAAACACAAAAAAATGAAATTAAAATACCTGAAACTCATGATGAAACTATTTTGACAGATGTTTCTGACTATCATTTTTTTTTTTTAAATTTATTGATGACTATATTATTGAATGTAAAAATCAACACACGCAACGAATCATGAATTCCACCAGATCTGATTGCTGATATATCTTAACGGCATGTTGTCGCAAACCGTTCCTGCGATCGCTGCTTGAACCGGTGTGGTGAGTATTCTAAAGTTCACATCCGTGTAATTTAGAGTCGACAGTAAGAAAATCGGCATACGATCCGATATGATCCAGAGTAAGTCGTGTTTCACCTATAGTAGAGCAGTATAAAGAGGGCAATAAAGAGTGAATGAAAGTAGTATGACAAGAAAATACATAATCGATATAACTATAAACATTACCTTAACGTCCGCTGGAAATATCATAGCCTCGTCATGTCTGGCGATAACTGCCTGATTGATTGGTGCGTAAGGTAGCATGGAATTCCAACAGCCGACTGCATTCTGATCAATCAAATTAAAGAATTGAAGTCCGTTCTCGTCCATCACAGACGCCGTGCAATGAGATAGCGGTCCCCTTGACGGCAACACCTACATGAAAATTAATAATAATATATGATAATTATATGCGCATATGTAAATGATTAGTAATAACAAATTTTTTATTTAGTTTAGTATAAACTTTTTCTTAACGAAATCTCGAGATATCCATAATATTCAATAATACAAAGAAATTTTTGCGAATCAGACTTTACAAAGATAAACAGATGAATAATTTCTTGTTGCAGATATGAATACCAACGCATTCAAAATATCTTCACTTAAAAAAAAAGAAAATGTAACATTATAATTTTATAAATAATATAAAATAAAGGCTTTTTTATTGTAATAAATTGTGTAAGAAAGTGTAGAAAGTAAAGTGGTCAAAATAACAGATGAAAAATTTATCGAATAATTAATAAATCAATACAAAGGACTAAAATTAAAATACCTGAAACTCATGATAGCTGTTTTGAGACAACTGCTGGTCTCTCAAGATTTTCGTGGAAACCGCAAATTCCCGATAGCTGCTGAGGGGATGGAAGAAGAGAGTCCGATAGCCATCTGATTTTATCGGTGTCAGACTCATTCCAAAAATACCTTCCTCTCCCCATTGAAAATTCAAGCCTCCGATATTGTAATCGCCCGCCAGAGGATCCGGCATGAAGTAGCTATGCGTTATTCGCCAGGATGTATTTTGCTGCCAGGAATACACGATCAGACCGTAGCCGAGTTCGTCGGACATGTAAGCGAAGGCATCGTCGCAACTGTCTTTTCCCAGATCAACCGCGATATTGGCGATAAAGGTATTCTAGATATAATAAAAGAAAAAAAAGAGAAAAAGTTAAAATCGACTAAAAATCAGAGATGTAACACAAATCGAGCGCAAAAAGAACTGCATACCTGATTAATATCTTCCGGTCTGAGCTTGTATTGCCTTATAACTTTATCCGTTTTCAAGTCAAATACATTCAAGGTATAAGGACAAGCTTGCACAGTAGTTTCAGCGATTCCTATCGTTCCGGTATCCAACACCCACAGTCTATCACATGCATCTGCATGAATCCTGAAAAAAATATTTATAGAATGTTGTACAAAATGTCTTCAAACTTATTCACATTAAGCGATGTCACCTATAGACGGTGGTCAATCCGCTGCCGCAGGCACCAGCCCTGTTCTGAGACCAACTCGGATAAGGTATAAGCTTCGGCGATACACCTTGATTAACGTCCAACGGTATATAATTCAACGTAGATGGTATTCCTGTAGTACAAAATGTTGCAATCATTGTATTAATATTAATATTATAAAATTAAATTTTATCGTATGATTGTTTATAAAATCAAACAGAATGATCAGCACATTCAAAATATAAAAAAGATAAATCAAATAAACATTATAATATATATAGAATATAAATATAAAATATCGAATATATAATTAAAAATTAAATGATATAAAGAGAAGAAAAGAAGATGCGAGAGAGAAAGAGATGTAGAAAATGCGCGAAAGGATGGAATGGCGTTGAATTCGCGAAGGTCTTGCGAAGGAAGTAAAGAAGAAGGATGGAAGGGTAGAACATTAAAGAGCTTACACAGCGTGCCGCCGTCATTGTTTGGCCTTTGTGCGACACAAAAAACGGTGGCGCGCGCCAACGTATATAATAAACATAGAGCGTGCAAAAAAAAAGTGGAGTGAATAAAGGGCAGCCGAGAGCTTGAATAAACCCGTTCGTCGCGCTGTGTCTCACTTTCCCCCCGCAGTAGAGTGGTGGGAGGAGAGAGAAGCAAAGGGAGAGCGTTTGGGGGGGTCCGCGTTCGCGGAGATGGGGGAGGCGGTCGACAAGGACAGAAACACTCCCATTGAGAGCGCGCTCGCGGTTTTCGGCGCTTTTTGTCGCGGACCGGAAGTCGCTCAGACGGGAATCGAGGCGTGCACCTCCTATGGCGATCTTCCGCGTATTATGCCGGCGTCTGCTTCCGGTTCCTGACTTTGAAGCGTCGCGCCTCGTTTCTGGCTCCAAGCGGAGCCCGTTTGTCTGTCGCGTCGTCTAAGACGTCATTAATCCAGACACAAAAGCGTAGCCGTAATTTTTTTAATGACTAATATCTTTGACAATCACCATCGCGCCATCTTGGCACCGTGACGAAGAGCTTGTTTCTCCAAATCTCGATGCCGACAGGCAGAGAATTCTCCGGGACGTATTCGCCGTTCGCTATCGCTAAATTTCTGCTGCGCTGATCCGGATAAGCAAAGTCCATCGTCTTCCAGGTGAATCTTTCCCAAAGCGGAGCACGTCCTATCTGCATGCCCCATATTTGAATCCCGTCGACGTTTTCAGACCGGAGTAACAGGAAGATCGAGATGAGAGCCAGGGAATACCGGACACAATGACTTTTCATACTCGCTATTCAATCTCTGTATGAAAAATATATTTGCTTAAAAAATATTATATATATATATATCACTAATTAACTTAATAATTAAATCAATCTCTCCGTTATAAAACTACTAAAACATGTGTGAAACTACTTTCCAAACGAAACGTTAATTACCTGTGCATACGTAACACCCAATCTGTTAAATATGCGCATTAAATATGCACTTATTACGTTTTTACAAAAACACGTAAAGAATTGCAGGAACAATATAAACAAGGTAGTAACATAAACAAATCTGTTGCATTGAAATAAATATGCATATATTATACACACGTAGATATATATAATAAAATCTTTAATTATATATATATATATATCACT